CGGGGCCTCCCCGGCTGGTGGCCCCGAAGGTCAGCAGGGGCTGCAGGCTCATCTGGAGGCCCGACCGGGGCTGGAGGAACCACCTCCAGGGTGGTTGTTCCCACAGCCGCAGATGGGAGGCCTCGGTGCCTCGCTCGTGGGCCTGCCCACAGGGCTCCTGAGTTCCTGCAACATGGCGGCCAGTGGCCCCCAAGTGGGTGACTGACAGAGCAGGCAGAAGCCACAGTGCCTCGTATGACCTATTTCTAAAGCCAAACACCCTCCCTACCCCCATATCCTGCCCATCAGGGAGCCACCAAGTCCAGCCCGTGTAGACGGGGAGCGAATTGGGCTCCACCGCTTGGAGGGAGGGAACTCAAAGCATCTGTGGCCAAATTCTGTAACCACCATGGGGACTGGCTTGACAGTCCCTCTCCAAATCACAAATGCACTTGCCCTTTGCCCCCCCCCCATCTCTTCTTAGTACCCTGCGGGCCTCACCTGCAAGTGTCCGTGTCACCCTGCTATTTGTGGAGGCCGTCCGTCCATCCTGCAGAATGTTCCGTAGCCGAGTGTGGTGGAGAGATGAGCCGGCAGACAGACAGACAGGAATCTCTTTGTGGAGTCCTGGGGATGGTCTCTAAGAGATGCTATGAAATACCAGAAGGAACGCAGGGAACCGTGAGGGTGGCCGACTATCTCGTGTTGAAGGACGGAGGGAGATGTGGACGCTTACCCATAGTTGCTGGTATTTACATCAAGAAACTCTGGAAAGAAACACCGGAATCTGCCCCGAGTGCTGCCCCAGCAGGACCGGGGCGGAGGGTCCGTAGGCCCAGGGTAGGGCGCGAGGCTTCTCACGTTGCCTGGGGTTTGGGAGCCACACGAACACGTCAGCTATGCACACGTTTCCTAACGGAAAGAAATGTAAAATAATCATCCCACGTGTAGGGAAAGCAGTCGACTCCCCGCGCCCCGCCCCCCAGCGCTGCAGGGACCCCCGGGCCGGGCCAACCGGCCCCCTCAAGCTCACCCCATCTCCCTGCGGGCCCCGGGGCAGCTTCCTGACGCCCTGCGGCACCGGGGGACCCCTACCTGGAGCGGCTCCCTGCAGCCGGCTCCTCCGGGGGCTCTCGGCCCCAGCCAAGCGCCACACGGATTCTGACCCTCTTTCCCTTCTCTCGCAGCCAAGAAATCCTCATTCCTCAGGAAATTGACCTGTGCGGCGACCCAGCTGAGGGCCCCACTCCCCAGGTATGTAGCTGAGGACAGCTGGAGGCTGTCCCAGAGGCGGCCGGAGATGCCCTGTCTCCGGCCCGGGCCCACCCCCCACACCCGGCGTCTCCCTCCAGCCCCCCGCGTTGCGGTCACTGGGGCGGCCAGCTGCCACCCCGGGACACTTGCTCCTGGAGCCTGCTGTCCGGGGCTGGCCCACGGCCTCGAACCGCAGCCCCGGGCCCGGGAGGGGTGCAGACAGCAGGGTGTCACTGACATCCTCCACAGCACCCAGCACGCCAGGGCCCTCCTTCTGTGATCTCCTCACGGCGTCTCCCTCGAGCCAGTGATGGGGCAGTCACGGTTTTGAGCAGGAAAATGCACCGGTGCCGGTATTATTCTCAGGTCACAGGTCGAGAGCCCAAGGCTGGACGACATGTCACCATGGGGCAAGGGGGTCTAGGCCAGGGCCACTGAACCCAACCCCCCACCGCCCGCTCACCCCACCCACTGGGCACAGCTTGGAGCCCAGATCTGTGGGGCCTTCGTGGCGTCTGACGCCGCTCTGGCCTGACCTGCCATCTGCCAGAAAGTTCTGGAAGCCATGGAGAGGTCGGGGGCCCTTGCCCATCTACGCCCCGCCTGGGTCTGGGTGGGCCTGGGCCCTGCCTCCTTAGGCTGCCTGCGAAGTTCAGGGGGGGGGGTCCCACAGGCCAGAGCCCTCTTCACTCTTAGTGGGGGCAGACACCAGCCCCCAATGGGTTCAGTGCCGCCCGACTCACACTGAATCGGCACACTGGAAATGGCAGACAGGCTCTGGTTATCGGGCGTCCCTGTAGGCGACAGCAAGGGGGCACCTGAAGGGGTGCGCTGGCCCGGGGCAGGGTGCACGGGGAGGCAGGGCCGCCCTCGCTCGAGCTCCTGGCCGCAGGCCTGCCATCTCCTCACTCACAGGCCCCTCTTCACGGCCCGCAGGGGCCACGCTGTCCTCTGGGACCTGACCCAGCTCCCCCAGTCTGTTCCCAGGACACAGAAGCCCTTCCGAGGGTCCCCAGGCTGCGCTGCACCTGCCTGTGCCCACAGTCCCTCTCCCGGGTGCCCTCTCCATCTTGGTGCCCCGAGGCTGGCCATCTAGGCCACCGGAGCCAATGCCACCCCCTCCTGAAGGCTTCCTTTGAGGCCACAAGATGGCCAAGGAGCTGGCCACAGCTCGTGACCTCGGCCCTCACAGAGACAGGACAGAGTCACTGCTGCTCACGTCTAGCGACCACGTCGAGCCATGCGGCCAAGCCTGCTGGCAGAGGGACGGGCTGGGACAGTCGGGGACAGTCCCTCCACGGGGATGGTGGAATCTTGAGTAATAATTCCACCTGCCTCCCCAGAGGCCCCGACAGGGAGCCCTCAGAGCAGACCTGGGGGATGCTGACGTGGAGACTCACAAGTGTCCCCAGAGGCTGTGGCGCCCCCGAGGGCAGGTGGGGCTGTGGGGGCCAGCGGCTTCCACTCCCCCTTAAAAACCCACACAGGATCCCCAGGTACTGCTGCAGCCTGGAGGGGCCAACCGAGCCCAGTTCTCATCTGGCTTCAGGCAGTGCCCGGGGGGGGGGGGGGGGGGG